TTAAACATATAATAAGATGTCCTTTGGACATTGTAAAAGCTGCAGTCTGCTGTAAAATCATTCTGTATTTATCCATGCCCATGTAATTGAATAAGTAAAAAGAAAACACTGTGGAGCCCTCAGGGTTTCTTTACTGCTGTGGATGCTGGAAGACCCAGCTGGTTACTGTGGAAAGAGGCACTGGAATCTTTATTTAAAGTCACTCCGGTCACGGCTGTGCCATGGATGTTTATCAGGATGGTGGCCCAGGATTAATATGGTCACTCCGAGAGCTAAGAGCGAGCTCCATATCCTGCATTAATGCATTTGAACAGGATCCTGAAAGGTCAGGGTGACCAGTACATGTATTAAATTATTTTTACAACTATATTTGCTGCAATTGCATGAGTTGGACTCTTTTTCAAATAGGAACAATGATGTCAGGTTTGTCTCTAGGCTCCTGAACATTATAAGGAATAACTTAAATGCAGGTGTATTATGATGGACAGGTGCTCATTTTGTCATGTAAAATCTGAATGCAAAAATAGGTAAATATGTGGCAGCTTTGGATAGGTAACCTATTAATGCAGGTATAAAACAGGAATCACACATACAAAGCCTCAGTCTGAAGGCTTATGAGTGTTGTATTGAAGTTTCAGAGCCTGGTGCCTGAAGATTTACATTTTCATTGAGAGAAAAAGAAAGAGATCCCTAAACAGAGACACCAAAAACCACCTTGATTCATCCCATCTCTTCATTTATCATAGCAAGGAACCCTTAAAACCTTACAGAATACACCCATGCCTTACCAAATCTGTAAGAGTTATTTATTCAGCCCTTCCTGAAAATCAGAAGCTTTGAAGAAATCTCTAAATAAACTCGATATGCTGGGGCACCCAAAATCACTAAAAAACCCAAAAAACCAAAAAAAGATAAAAATGAATAAATAAAGAAAAGAATAATACGCTTGGGGGAAAAAACCCAGTCAGATCAGGAATATTTATTTAGAGGGAAAAAAAAAAAGTAAAATTATTAATAAGTGTGACAGTCATTTTCAGTTATTGAAATTACCTTTATCCCAAGAAAGTTGGAGAATCTCAGGATGGTTTGAGTTGCATGGAAAACTAAAGATCATCTAGTTTCCAGTCCCTGCCATAGGCAGGAATACTTTTCACTGGACCAGGCTGGTCAAATGACCACCAACCTGGCTTTGAACATTTCCAGTGATGGGACGTCCACAATTTGGGAAAACTCTTCCAGTGTTTCACCATATCACAAGAATTTCTTCATCATATCTCATCTAAATCTCTCCTCTTTTAGTTTAAAGCTATTACCCTTTGTCCTGTCATCACATCTCCTTGCAAAAATAGAAATGTGAACATAAATAATGTATACCAACTCTATGTATTTGAAGACTTCTGAATTAAAGGAACATAATCTGGAGGCAAGTAATCGGCATTAATTTGTGCTTGAAAAGTATCTTTTAACTCTTATTTGTAGGCAACATGTGGAAATTGATGAAAACCTCTCAGCTGTGCTTTAAAAGAGTGGACATGTTTGTAAACTATGATATTGGAAAATTTCCATCTTGACTTTTGAACTGTTGGTATAGTAGTTTTCTAGTCAGTTACTATGGTGATAGTGCCCAAAGCATTAGAAGCTGCAACATCAAAAGGACTGTGAAACACAAGATTACCTAAAAGGAATAGATAACCTTTTATAAAGAAAATATTTATTTTCATTTTTACATCTGTGGTCTCATTGTTGGAGTGCCTCTGGTTTGTGTTAATTCTCTCAGCTAAATTCAGCTACCTATAAGCTAATTCACAGGCAGCAAAGTCACAAGAGGAAAGCTGTTCACCTCATCTATTTTTCCTGTGTCTCTTCTGGTGATATGAATCATTTTCTTGAAACACCTCTCTCTGCCTCTCTGCACTAAGTACGGTGTGAACTCATGTAACCTATTTAGCCAGCTCAAATGGGTAAAATGGACTGAACATAGGTCAACATTTGCTGTAGGCTTATAGTGATTTTTTTACTAAGAGGCCTGCTGGAGTTAACAACCACAGATTATAAAAATTGATAATGAAAATTGTAACTGTACATATGATACTGTTACAGCTTAAATTCAGTAGTAACTGCATATATTCACACACACAGGCTTTTTTCTGAAGAAATAGATTGTATAATGTAAGTTTATGACCATGTGTGTGCAGTAGTTATAGTTTACTACCCATTACATATTATCACTGCAAAATTGGTTCCAAGAAGTAATTTGAATTGCTGGATTTTCTCCTCTTCTGTCTTTTCTGCTCCTACTTTACTTCTATGCCAAATCTGTCTTGTTGAAATTCAATAATATTAGTCATGACTAAGGGGATATATGAAGTAAAAGCCTGATCAACTCCTGTTTATTAATTAGTACCCAGTATTTAACTATAATTCAATGTAAAAAAAATCAAACAAAGCAGAATATATATCTATGTAAAGGAAACATTTTTTGGTAATAAAACTGTATTTTGAAGGTACATTTCTTCTACTTGCACAAGGGTGAGGTGAAGATAAAAGTGTACTTGAAATTAATTCTGCATTAGTTAGGTAGTTCTGTGCTGTAAGAAGGCAGCACAGACTCACAGCAGTCAGAACGACCTAACACTTAACATATTTAAGGGAGTAAAAGTGAAGGGAAAATGAAAGAGATGCAAAGATATCTGATTTTGAAAATAGCTTTAGCATATTGCTATTAGGCACATAAGGTTCTGCCTGTATTGTCTGATGCCCTGAGAACTGTTCCCTCTCCTTTTAATCACCACAGTGCTCTGCATCTCTGACTTGCTGTCCATTGGAATTCTCTCTGCAAACCCTCTAAAATCAGCTGAAGGAGTGAAGGTACAGAACCTGATTGGTGTGAGAGATTTGGTACTTAATTCTGAAAGTATTTGAAACCCCACTGACATTTTAAAATTGTCAGAATATGCCCCTGAAAAAATATAGATCAAGAACAGAATGAATGTTTTCTGATTTTTTTAAAATAAGAATAACCTTGGACAAGAGAATAAAGATTTTTATATGAAAAAAGAAATATTTTTCTTGCTTTTGCTAAATACATGTGATTGTCTTACATGAAGCTTTTATTTGTTTATATGAAATAAAGCAGTTACATTCAAGTTTATTATACATACGCAAATATCCTTTTTGCACATGGAAAGTTTCATATTCTGATTCTGTGATGTGCAGATGTTTATTATGTTCTGGAGGGGATTTATCTGACCAGACCTAGACTTCCACAGAGGAAACATCTATGTCTGAGCTAGTCACATTAACTTCTTCCTTTGTCATTGAGAAGAAAAGAGGTAAATTTATGTAATTATAATTAGTCAGATCATTGTATTGTAGGATCATTAAAGTTAGAAAATAGTTCTAAGATCATGAATAAAACAATTGACAGAATACCACCATGCCCACTTAACCATATAGCAAAGTGTTACATTTGCTCATTTTTGAATACTTCCAGGGATGGTGACTCCATCACTGTTTTTTGAGAGCCAGTTCCACTCTTTAATTGCTCTCTCAATTAATAAATTATTTTAACATCCAATCTGAATGTACCTTGGCACAACTTGAGGCCCTTTTCCCTATTGCTAGTTACCTCTCCTCTCCTGGGAGAGGAGACTGACCCCCACCTCACACAACCTCCTTCCAGGTATTTGTTGAGAGCAGAGCTGTAGAGGGATGTCCATATTTACAGATGACTCATGCCCTAAAAGTCTTTCCACTCCCCAACTATGGTAAGAGAGATCCCAAAAAGACTGGGGAAATATTGACAACTAAGATTAACTTGGGTGAGTCACATCCTGAGTGAAGAACCTTGATTTTACAATGTCAAACAACTTGTGCCTTCATGCTCTATTTCCCAATCTCTTACTTTCCCTAAACTATTTTTCTTTATTTTGGACTAATTCTGAAGAGGATAGAAGATATAGAAGATGCAACAATTTCATTCTCATTCATAGTGTTTCTAAACCCCATCCCATTAGAAAACACATCTGTGCAAGACAGAGGTGACTGAAGTTATGAGCTGCTCATATTAGACAGCTGCCCCGGTCTCCCAGTGAACACATTTTAACACACTGAATACTAAACTGTGTTTGAACACAGCCTGTCAGAATTTCAGGTATTTCATTTCAGAAATCCATCCCACACTGAGGCAGGAGTTGCCTTGGGAAGCACCAGTGTCTCTTTCCAAAGAGTGCAGTTTGAGCCAAGGCTTTAGGCCAGCTGAGATGAAGATACCAGCCCCCATCACAGTTTGTTCTCTCTGTCACAGAACCAGGACCCAAACAAAGGCAGTGGATGGGGAAAGAGGGTTCTGCCCCTCCTGGGGGCACATGGGACCAGCAGGCTGCTATGCAGACTCGCCTTGCTTCAAGTGATGAAGAGCCTCTGTTGAATTCCCTGTCCCTTAACTGCCACAGCACCTACTGCACTCTGATTTCCTTATAGGAAATGATAAAATGTGGTTCCTATAAGAAAGAACATGTATGATGATTTTCCCCCCAATTTTGCTAGCATCTATGGACTACTAGTATGTATGAAATTCGTTATTATTCCATAAGATAGCAGAACTGTATCTTTCAGAAAACTGTTGAAGAAATTAGGTCTAAGATGCAATTTAGACCTTCAAACTGCTTAGCTATAAGTCGTGCATGATTCAGACCTAGGTCTTTTTCACTAGTCTTGGGTTAACAAGCTGCTTTATCAGTCTATTTCCTAATTCTATTTCAGTGTTTTTCAAAATTATATTCTTCAAATATAATGGTGATACAAAAGTCTGGTAAAGATATGTACAAAAAAAAATATATTTCAAAGGAAAAAACACAAAATGCTGGTGAGAAAATCACGTCTGAAAAGTTATATATGAATCTGGAATCCCAGCTTAAGTAATATGAAGTAATGCCAGATCCTAAGTCAGAAAAACAAGGTGTTATTTTGATTATTAAGCCTTAGTGAAGATTCTCCAGGATAAGGATTTCTTAGCTGCATAGCAAATATTGTTCAATTGTGAAAACTGTGATTTAAAAAAATCAACATTTTTGTGAAAGAAAAGCAGGCTCTATTCACACAATAGTATTTTTCACTCTGGTATTTTTGCAGATGTGGAACTGAATGCCTACAGAAGTCATTGAGAAATTTTCCAGAGAGAAGGGATTTGCAGGTTCAAGATCTTTCACTCACACAGTGATCATTTTGATGCACTTGGTTACCATTTACAACCTGGCCATAAGCTCACCAGATAAAACTTTTTTTGCTGAAGTGAAAACTTGTGTTTGTTTTCAGTGGGTGCAGGATGTGATCCACATGGGCAATAAATGTGTGATTTACAGACATGAGCTGTAGTTCTCTATAGAAATATCCATGAAGAAAAACCATTATGTGTGAAGATATTCCTTTTATTTCAGCATGTCTAAAGGAGCACATATGCTGCCTTCTTCATTCTTAGCAGCAAGGTCATTTCCCAAAGGACATAGAACAAAAAAAAATTGATCTACAAACATCTTTTAGAGCAGTTACTAAATATCTAGCCTTGAAAATCACTTCTAAAAGTAGAGGATGTATTGTGTTATTGTGTATTGTATTTTCATCTTTCACTCCCAAAGTCAATATTTCCACTACCATCAGTCAAAGGATTGCTCTGAGTCCAGCTGTGTACATTCAATGGCATAAAAGACATTCAGGTGTTACTAGGAGATCCATTATCTGTCTTTGAGCCTTTGTCTGAGAAAAAAAAATAGGGGGGAAAGCCTTTTCAGTTAATTAAGAAATTTGAAATGAGAGGATTTAGTGATTTAAATAGTTCAAATGTATTTTAGGAGAAATTCTGCCATCAACCAAGAAACAGCAAATCGGAGCTGAAAGCAAAGACTGCACATCTGGTAATAGCCACAGCTGGATGAGGGTTGGTTTGGCTGCTGCACTAAGGTACAGGCAGGAATTAAACCATGGGGATATTGATAGCGTGAGGAGATTAAATTTGTTGCAGAGTTTAAGTAGGATGCAGAAGATAAGTGGAATGAGTGTAAAGGAGAATTTAGAAAAATGTTTACATAAAAATGTGGGGGTAGAAGTGGAATAGAAGGAAGCAGAATCCTTCTGAGAGGCAGAAGAAAAAGCACATAAAACTGAAGTAGAATTAGCCATTCTATCTGTGCACATGTTGGGGGAGGAGTTTACAATCTTCTAGAGGAAAAAATGCCTGAAATTTCATTGGAAATATTCCATAACAACAACCACAAATACTTAAATTTTCTCTTTAGGTGCAGCAAAAATACAAGACCTAGAGAGCAAAAAATGTGTGCTGAGAGGTGTCACTTTGTGCTTTATGCTTCCTGTATTCTGTGAAGCAAGGTATTCTGCTTTGTAATGTGTCTGAATTACATTTCTTTTGTTGGTCATTCACCCTCAAAAAATAGTAAAGTACTTTTTCTAGAGGTAAGAAAATTTCAGGCTTTTTTTGACAAGTTTAACAGTTAAATATTTGCAGGTTTACCTACCTTTGTTACTCTGGGGCATTTTGGAAAAAAATGAAAATATCTTCCATGAAGGGGAAAAAAAATGAAGCAAAACATTGTTATTATTTCAAAATTTCTAACATCAGGCACAGCAACAAGACAAAAATACCTTTTCCAGATACTTTTATCCAGAAACCGGATACTTCTTCCAGTTCAGTTTGTGAGCACCTGACCCCAACTGCACAAGTTAATGCAAATATATGGGGAATTTATCCTTTTCCAAGTTAACAAAGGGTGAGGCTTCTGCTGTCTCTTATGTCTTTTCCACAAAGTCTGACAGAATTTAAGCTTTTTGCTTATTGACCTAGGAACCCTTCCCTTCCCTTCCCTTCCCTCTTCCGTTCCCTTCCCTTCCCTTCCCTTCCCTTCCCTTCCCTTCCCCAGGAGTTTCCAGGGTTAATGACACTTGAAAAAATCAGAAGGTAGCAAGAACACAAATACAAAATACAAATACAGAATACAAAAAAGCTCAACAACTTATTGCATATAAATATTTTAATTTTTGTGCCAATCTTCTGATACTGTTGTTCTCATTCTTGAATGCTTTGGATTACCAAGGAGAATTATTCCCCTCTGTTTAACTTTAATAACTGGAGAACATTAAAATGTTATTATAGCTCAGTTTCCAACAATATATTTGATTGAAAGCAATGGGTGGGGCACTGGAAGCTGGAATCCATTTCACAGAGGAGCAGGGTGCACTTCTGCTCACTCTGCTTGACTGCATTGTCCTTTTCATAACGTGGAAGTCACAGCATGGACTGGAAGGAAAAGCCAAAGCGCCTCATCTTACAGCCAAGCACCTCATCTCCAGCACCTCATCAAGATTGAAAGCTACAGGAGCAGAGCAGGCAGAGCTGCCTGATCCTCTGTCCCTCTCCTTCCCATGGGAGCTGTCCCAGCACATGTGCAGGAGCCTCACCTCCCTGCTGCAGGCAGGGCAGGGGTGCTGTCCTCAGTCTGGGCTGACCCCAAACACCTGCTGAGCCAGACACCTTCAACATCCCCATCCTCTCCCATGTCCAGACGTGGGGAGCCCCCGGCTGTGCACTGCAAACTCCACCTTCCCTCAGCCCTGGTGTCACCTCTGCTGGGCTCTGACCCAGCCCAGCTCTCTCCAAACCTCGTTGCAAAAGGATGAACCTAAAGAACAGGTTTCAGTACTCAAGTCCTAGATGGTATTTCTAGATCTGGAACTGCAGCTTTAGAGGACATGAATTTCAAAATGGCCAAATTCATTTTGAAAGCTACTGGGATAAATGGACTGACAAATGCAGGTATTTTGGTACATAAAGGCACAGGAAAACACCCATTTCAGATCCAGAGCTAGTGATATATCTAAATTCTGTGGAAAGAAAAGCAACTTAACTAGGTACCCAGGCATTTCTGAAATATTCAACTGGTTTCTTAGCACTCTATCATCATGATTGTTTCCTACAGCACCTTGCAGGAATAAGTAAATACTTGTGCCCTTCCTTGCCAGAATTCTATCTAGACCAACAAAGAATAATTACTTAATTGTAGGTTATAATTTGTGTTAGACTGTTGACTAAAGGCCAACTGCATTATACAAAATATAATAGATTCTCTCTCTCTCTAGATTAAAAATTAAGACTTTTTTTCAATGTATGTATGTATGTATTTATTTTTTTCCTTGAACATGGTGTAAAGTGAGCTGTACTGGGTCAGGCAGTGGCCACAGGAATATTTAACTCTGTGAAGCTGGAGACAGTAATTTCCCGTCTGGTGGGCTGAGTGACTGGAGCACACAACATGATGTGGATGAGCATATTTCTGGCTCAGAGCAGATGGCAGAAGATAAAATGTAAATATGTTTAAATCACCAGGAGTTTCCCCCCACAATCATTATGTTATTATATTTCAGTCTTTCAAAAAGCAGTTTACCTTTTATCAGCTCCTGTTAACTAACAAACTATATCGTCATGCAAATAGAGAAGAGAAGACAGCTGTTTGAGTCACAAAAGATAAATATCACCTGAAACAGCTATTGTTTTGAGGTCCTGAGTCTCCTAAATAGATATCTTCAGTGCAAATAAATGATGTAACCCAAAGTGAGTCCAACAATACACTGGCGAAATAACTTGTGTGGTTTTCACAGGAGAATATTCAATCTGTGCAAACAGACTGCCATCTGTAAACAGCAACATAAATAGGAAGTGTACATCTGATGTGCCTGCTCACCAGATCTGATCCTTCAGGGTGGTGTGTACCCTCAGAGCCCTACAGGAGGACATTTTCAAAGCATTTATTTTCACAGTGGGACTGGGGAGTGGAGGGTCATTTCCAAATGGGAGAGATTTTTAAAGTCACATAATTGACTGAATGGAAACAAGTCCTTAGATTCTCTTAAAAAATAAAAATCTATTTTTTCACTGTCAAATTCACAGCACTAGTCACAAGCAAATGAATTCACTTTTGGAGTTAAACATAACATTACTATTGGGCAGGACGTTTTTAGAAGAAAAATGCTAAACAGCCACTATTACTTTAAATTTCCAAGACATAAAAAACCCACTTGTAAAAATTCTTTCAATTTACAAGGAGCTTGCATTACACAAAACTGATAAGAAACAGATTAAAAATTAAACATTTATGACCTAAGGAACTGCTGAGCAGACTTTGCTCGGAAGAACATCTGTAACAATAAACCCCAGACTCCTGAAATTTGAATTTGCCTGTTGTACTTGCTTAATTACTGTGCATGCTAACTATTTAGGGTAATAGTGCAGTTGTGGAAAATATTATTCCCTTAGGGATTTTCATGTATAATTTCTGGAGGGGAGCATTCCCAACTCAACATGCACACACAAGTGCCAGTACCATTAATGGAAGTTATGTGCACCATCCAAAGGGAGAGCACGCTCCTGAGTATGTAACTAAATCAACAAACCCCCAGTATTACCATAATGCTAGAGGTAGAACCAGAGCAAAATATTTAAAGATAAAGAATGAACACAATTTCAGTCTTACCATATGTTATAATGGTGATATTATCTTCTGTAGGGGACTCTGACTACTCTTGATAAATCTAAGTTATAGAACTTAGGCACAATGGAATGAAATGATGCTATTACTAAGTGTATAAAGGCTGCTTCAGTTTTACCTTTGTCTTTATTTGCTGATGTACAGCATCTCAGAATTGCAACACAATAACATTGCTGAAACTTTCATCCTGTTCCTAATTTACACTTTGCTCTAGCAAATTGCTTTTACACCCATGGTCAGGCCATTTTTACTATAGTGCAGGAGTAACAAAGTGAAAATGGGAATTACTCTCCCTTAATGGCAAGTTCTGCCTTCAGATATATTGAACCTGTGTGACTAAAAGCTTAACCACAACTATGCAGTATTTCTTTTATATTTTTAAAGGAAAATTACAAATTCAAATTAGACTATGGTGCCTTTCCTGAGGTTAATTTCAGGTATTCTTTTTACAATGCCACAATTAATTTTTAACTCCATAACAGAAATCCCAATTTAATTAATTGCTCTGAAATTGGCTTTTAATCCCCTTATTTGTGTTAACAGCTCTTATTAAGTCATTACCTTCTTGCCTTTGTGTTATGCACAGTTTAGTGCATAAAGATGTTTTGCATGAAAAACATGCATGGATCATGTTTCTGCATATACAATTATCCCCTGTAAACTGACATTTTGGAAAGAAAATGGTACAATTGGTAGAGAGCAAATAGTTTTCTGGTTCAATGCCTTCAGTTTTACTGGTCAGACACCACTAACAGACATGTAGCTTCATGTTCAACCCAGCAATAACTCTGATTTTACTTTCTGAAGGTTAGAAGGGCAGGTATGAAGAGTTATACAAGGCATAAAGGGTATACAGGTATACAAGACAGGGCTTTTTTTAACTGTTAGCTGTCTGCAAAAAAAAAAAGTTTCGTACCTTTGTGTGTGAACTACAAATTTGAGTTTAAGATAAATGTCTAAGTAGATACTTGTTTTTAGTAGCTACTTTTTAAAGCAATGCTTGCAGCAGAGTAAAATTGAAGAAAAATGTAAACAAAAAAAAAGGACTTTGAAAATCCTGAGGGAAAAACCATATTGATGGGTTATTTGGTGCATACTTCTAAGTGGATCCTCTCAGGGTCATGTGGGCCTCTAAAGCCTGAATGAGGCTCAAATGAAAAGCCATAAAATGCATCTCTATGAACAACAAGCCTGTATTAAAAGACAGCTAGTAAGCTTAAAAAGATAACAGTACTTTTGTTATTTAGTATGGGTTTCCTAATTGCAAAACACATTCTGATTTATTATAAAGACTATAGTTAGATTAGGCCAAACAAATCAATACGCCTTTAATTAGTGGTATGGCTGCTGCTTCACTACACTCTATGCTAGCACCAAAGCCTAATTTTGAGTTTAGCATCCCAGAGTTGCATAACAATGTTCTCCAGCACTGAAACTTCAGCTTTGTTTCACATATAGAGGAAGCCACTACGCCAGAATAAAAAAAAAAAAAGAAAGAAAAAAGAGTAGTTTCTACAGAAATGAATGAGCTCTGCTCTGTACATTAATAGTAAAAATAATAATCATTTATGCCCCATCAAATAGCTGTGGGCATGCAATTGTATTTCAACAAAATACTAGCTTGCATCACTGCTCATTGGATAATATTTCATATTAATTACTATTGCAGCCTTCTAGCCTATTTCTAAAGATGCCATTATGAGACTGGATACTACTGAGTCACCTAATCAATGAAATAAAAATTACTAACACAGAACAAATAATGGCAACTACTCAGTCATGTTAAACTAGGAAAACAAGAAAGGTCTCACTTCGTGTACCCAGGCAGTTATTGCACTCAAATATCTATATTTACATATCATCAGAAAAGAACATTTCTGAGTGTCAGAATTTTCATTTTTAACAAGCAATCATTACTATGATACTAAACAATTTTAGGACAATAGAAAATGGTGACACCAAAGAAACAGGAGCACTCAAGTTCTAAATAGTAAACAGTGTGCATGTATATATTTG